AATTTCCCTGTCCATATTGAATTTCACCAATTAGCTTAAAATTATCTTTTTATGGCTAGTTTGCTGGAATCAGGATACAGATTTCATAAGTTATATTTAGTTGCTATAGCTCTTAAGGCTCTTATTCTCAATAGCCATTTAAAAGTATTAGAAGTTCTTACTACCAGAAAAAGATCGTAATATTTAGATGACACGTTGTTTTCTTATAAAAATTGTACAATCTCATAGTAAGAAAATGGAAAATTTCACAAAATATTAAGAAAAAAATCACTTAAATTGCTCAGAGTATATTTCCGTTCTGTCATTTTAATATATTATATAGTTGGGGTCTTCTGGAAGCAGTTTTATACATTTTTTACTATTTGAGACTTTTGGTACATAAACTCTTTTCCATTTTAATTGCTACATTAAAATGTACTTTACTTTTGGGGGCCTCCCTGTTGGCGCAACAGGTTAAGATGCAGCACTGCAAGCAAGCAGCAGCCGCTTCAGTGCGAGTTAGATCGAGTTATATCTCTGGCCCCTGAGGTGATCCACATGGCATGGCAGACCTCTCCTGACCCGCTGGCTGCACTCTCAGCAGTGTACTGTTCTGCTCCCCACTCAGTCTCTGTTGAATCCTCTCACTACCCCCTGCTCCTCTGGCTTCTACCCCAGTTCTGTTTGCATAAATAAATAAATAGATCTTTGTAAAAATGTACTATACTTTTTTAGAGTAGATGTGTGCATTAATTGTTTTTTTATAAAAACTACATCTAACTTAGAATGCCATTTTATGGTTTACTTTCAATACATTTTCTCACTGCTAGAGTCGAGGATATTTATATATTTTAGTCAGGGTTGTGGTTCTCTGACTTAACTACCTAACACCCAGAATTGGGGAAAAGTCTAAGCATTGTTTTCTCCATACCAGTTAATGTCTGGATCTGGATCCAGGTCCTTTGAGAAAGATATTTAATTTTGCCATTTGGGGCACAAGGATGTCCATAGGGACCATTTTTAGTAAGTTTATTTCAGTACTGCTTAATACATTTTTAGTATTGGTTATTGCCATCCTAATGTTATTGAGTTACCTGAGTACATGATACATTTATTTTTCCAAACACTAAATACTAAAAGAAGATAGTAAATTCAGCTATCAGTAGGAGTTTGGCATTGGGGAAAGTCTGGAAAGGTTGATGCCTATCATAGCTGCTATAGATAATTCATCAAACAATTGCACCTGGCAAAAAGGAGTGAAATGCAGTAGAGATGACTCCCCAGAAGGTTCTAAGGACAAACCCTTCCTTGCTTTTTCCCAGCTTCTGGTAGTTGCTGGCAGTCCTTCCACTCCTTGATTTAATACCAATAATGCCATCAATTTCTGCTTCTGTCTTCACCTGCTTTCTTCCCTGTATGTATCTTTTTGTTGTCCCTGTGTTTCTTCTTATTAAGGAGATCAGTGATTAGAATTAGAATCCACCCTAATCCATTAGACCCTCATTTTACCTAATTACTTCTGCAGAACCTGTATTTCTAAATAATGCCACATTTTGAAGTTTCCAAAAGTATAATATGGCCTAGGAAAAATTTATTAAATACTTGAATAATATACTATGAACTTTCACTGGGTTTATTAAAAACAAATAAAGTAAAATTAGACTGTTGTTTCCTGTCCATCTATATTTACCACTACTAACAAGATGACATCAAGAGACCAGCTAATGTATTCCCATGCACCCATATCTTGCAATTGTTTTACTTATTAACAGTATAGATACATAACTTCTACAGAAATCAATTTTGGTAGTGACATAAAAAAAAAAACAGGCAAACTATTAATTGACTAACTTTATTTCCTATAGTAATCAGAGTAAAGGAGTACATTGTTTTAATAACTCATGTTAAGTTTTCCAATCATATCCCATAGAAGCAATTAATGCCTATAATTACCCATAAATATCTTAACTGCTAGTCATCCAGAATAATAACAGAAAACCAGTGGTTTTAGAGTTGTTGAGTAACTATTAGAAAATTAGTGTTAATAAAATGTCAACTCATGACTTGATTATTTTCTTAGAACTTTTCCTTCATTTTCTTTCATATTAGAAGAAATTGGTTAGACTTGATTCCTATGTCTTGGTCTTTTATAAATCAAAATATATTGCATCTCACTGTACTTACTGTTCATATAAATTTATGATTTTCACATGTTATAAACTAGGATAAATTTTGATTGTATCTTACTATCAAAAACTAACTTTTGTAAATCAATAAGCTAGAGATTTAGAATGGCATTCAAGACAATGTAATTATAAAAATTTCTAAAAGCTGTCTTGTTGCTTTTAGAGATTCTTTTGGTTCTTAGGGCAAAATACTCAATATTTACTCATTAATTATTAAGTGTAGTGTGTTGTGCCATAAGCACATAGCTGGAATGTTATAACTGCCTCATTGTGTGTAGGTGTGTGTGTGTAGGTATGTCTGTTCAACTGGTATTTCTTGAGCATCTGTTGTTACAATATCAGGAACTTTGGATACAAGAGTAAATGGTCACAGTCTCTATTTCTTAGTCTGAAATGGAAAAGACATTAATTAAATATTCATACAAATAAATGTAAATTTATCACCATAAAAATGCTATGAAGGAAATGAACAGTGCTATCAGAGCTTTTAGGGGGATATGTCTTTGTCTTTGTAGAGAGATTATGGCAAAAGCTCAAAAGACTTCCCATAAGAACTGACTTAACTAAGCCAAATGGTTATTGGAAATTATGTAGGTGAAAGAGGATGTGGAAAAAATTCTAGGAAACAGAAATAACATATAATAGGTCTTGTACTATGAGTGTGAGTTATTTGAAACAAAAGGAAGCAGTGTGACTAGAAGACAAGAAACAACAGAGAATGTGATACAAAGTCTGGCAGGAACGTGATGACAGTAGCCCAACAGTGGGAACTTCCCGGACAAAGAACCTCTTTGTTCTGTTTTTTTTCCTGCATTTCTAGAATGCTAGGTCTCCTGACTTGAGCACCTCTAATACTGCCTTCTGAAACCTGCCTTCCTCCTGACTTTGATTTTCTTCTCTGCCAGATTTTCTTCTGACCTGCACAATGCCTAACTTGGTATCAGCGACCTGCACAATGCCTAACTTGGTATCAGCGACCATTTTTTCAATTTAACCATAGTCAGATTTATTCTTAATTAACCATCTATGAAGAGTACACGTCAAAAGTAGAAAAAAATAAAGGAGCCCATCAAAAATAGTTCCCTGGCAAGTGGGAGGGAGGGTATGATGTTAGGATCTTTGTTTTGGGAAGGAAATGTTGTCCAGATCATGGATGCCATTTTTGTCAATGATTCGAACACTGAAGCTTGGCAGATTCAGGATGAAGCGTTTCTGGAGCTCCTCTAGACATTTCCTAAGAAGTTCCACTGCCCCACTCTTGACCATGATGACCCAGCTCCATGGCTAGTTTTCAAAAGCATACTGATATACTTAACGTTCTCCATAGATAATGCATTTATGTATCACTGACACAAAATAGCATTGGAGCATGAGATTGTATCTGTTATGAAAACCATTATATTTTAAACCTTTCTTGAGAGATCATTAGAATGTTTTATTAACAGGACTTAAAACTTTCTTGATTAGAGCTCTTAGAAGACTAAATTTAATCCTTGTAAAGGTGAAGTAGTTGTCAGTTCTTGTCCCTATATTGCTCTGACTAGTAATGTCACTTAAATATCTATTTGTTGAATGTTTGATAGTGACAAAATTACATATTATTCTCTTTGTTTTCACAAACATAGGCCTTCAGGTACCTTTATATATGGCTTCTTATTACTATGTGAATCTTTCTTGATTGACTTGCTTCATCTACAAGCTAATGAGAATTTTATAGTGTCCATAAATACTACTTAAATCCATTAATACTATGGAAAACTATTTTTTTTAAAGATTTATTTATTTGTGCATACAGAACTGGGGTACAGGCCAGAGGCTCAGGGGCGATGAGAGGCTCCACCAGAGACAGAGTGGGGAGCAGGACAGGCAGATCGACAAAGTACACTGCTGAGGGGAGCAGCGGGCAGGTCAGGAGAGGTCTGCCAGGCAGGGATCGAACTCAGGCGGAAGCGACTATAGATTCTCAGTGCTGTGCTTTAACCCGCTGCGCCACCAGGGAGGGCCTGGAAAACTATTTTTTATGTTAATTGTTTAGTATAGTTTCTATTTGAGCCAAACAGCATTTTGAAATGCTATGCTAATTATCAGCATTGCTTCTAGCAGATACACTTGATATTATAAAATTGACTAGTTTCTGTGTATATATAAATCAGGTTGAACTTGATATTTTTCAGTAACTGAAAACATTAACTATATTTTATATACTATGGATTAAATGAAGGTAACAGTTAAACAATGAGGATGAACTTCCTCCTGATTTGTTAAAAATTTTTAATGTTTAAAATTAATATGAGGAAGAATTATAATATTATGCTTTTTCATGTGTAGTTTGTAGTTTTATTATAGTCATGGCTTCTATATCAGAAAGTTTTAAAAAATTCTAAAATATAATAGAATTGTATCTTATTTCAAAATTCACTGAAATGGTAGATAGTACTTATTTAAGAGCAATTAATGATAAAATGATGATACTTTAAACTTTTTAAACCTAAAATTCCACTATATGCAAAAAGAATTCAGTGTAGTTAGAACATTATATATATGAATTAATTGATTTACAATGAATATGTTGTATTGGTGAACTGATACAGATTTCTAACTAAATAGGATATTTGTTTCATAGGAGAAAATAGAAGTAGAAATTATTGTCATAACTTATGTATGTAATCCCCTATTAATATACATTCTTTCACCAATTATTATTAACACAAAATTGGCTAAAATTAATACTCTTCTATCATAATAAATCAAGACAATTTACATTTAGTTTTCTTTGTCTGTTTTGTTTTCTCCACCCCCCCCACCCCACTTCTCAATCATTTCATGACAATTCAGTGCTTCAGAGAATTTAGATGAGCTCTCTTCCTCCAGTAGCTGGTTACTTAACCAGAAGCACAGTAAGAAAAGGAGAAAAGACAGGACAAGATTGAAATCTCCATCCTTGACTATTATGAGTACAGCAGCTCGAACGAGGCCACTTCACAGTTTCCACAAGCGAAAGCTCTACAGATTGAGCCCCACTTTTTATTGGACTCCACAGGTAAGGTCATCTCTGGATAAATGTGAAATTTTTTGGCCATCATTATTTCACATATACATTGAATATCGTTATTTATAATAATTACTCCTAGAACGCTTTAACAATATTATTTATAAATATGTTATTTTAAAGATTTTACTGATTAGGGTAATAAGGAAAATACATGTGTACTACTATTGTCTTTAGCTTAGTAATGGAAAGAAGAAAGAAAATTTTCACGGCTATTAGTAGTTTTGGAGGAAATGACATTGCTCTTTTTTAGGTGTGGTGTATGTTAGTCTTCGGGAGCACACCTTTTCCTTTCTCTAGAACTTAAGTAGTGCAGTTTTAGATGTCTACACTTCCACTTTATATCAAAAGAGTATACTTCATTAAAACATTTACTTGGAAAAGCATATTTTGATTTGTTTGCAAAATATCAGGTATAGTTTTTTCAGTGCACATCTGAACACCCTATGATGAAGGCCAAAACAAGTTATCACTAGTTCTTGTATGATGTGCTTTTTTTATTCCTACTTTTTTGAAATAATATATCAAGGGAAAAAATATAATTATTTCTAATTAAATCACACTATTTTAAGTATATTTGTGTAAAAATTAAGGTAGTTTGTTTTGCTAGGAACCAATGTTAAATTTGGTTTTATAGGATTCAATTATAAATAGGAATGTGGATTCTGACAAATTTGTTTTTATGAATAGACTGAATTTTACAATTCAGCAGTTCAGGTTATTAATCTGATCTCCCCAAAATGAAAATATTTCTTCTAGAATTTTAAGAAATTTTCATAACTAAGTGGGAAAATATTTTATTTAAAGTTTTTATATATGAAATATTTTGTGATTTTTCTTTCAAGTAACTATGAGCAATAAATATTCCTGAAATCAGTTTTAATTTCATTATTAAAAAAAGACCTGCATAAACTATTTTCCAGAAAAAATAGTTATTTTCTTGTCTAAGCTTGATGTCATTTCTCTCATATCCTCACTATGGGGTATATGTTGATATACTACCCTGGGTTATAAGTCATTGTTTTATAAGACCTTTATTGCTCTGTGTTCTCATACTGTAAATTTTTAGAAAACAGTGACTGTATATTTCTGAACCTACAGGGTCTTAAACAGTCACTATCCAGTAGATAGTAGGTACTCTGTAAATAATTGTGCTTTCTATTGTTTTTGAATAGTTTGTTTTAAATAATTGCTTTAAATTTCTGGAAGAATTAATGTAGTATGGACTATAGAAAAATAGTAGACAGTAAGAACTTGAGAGTTAGTTTTGATTTGCCTTGTGAAAATAATCCAAGAAAATAATCTCCAATAGGCTATAATGATGGAAATATTCTATAAATTCTGAGTTCCAGTATGTTAGCTAGATTTATCATTGGGCATTCGAAATATGGCAAGTACAGCTGAGATGATTTTTTAGTTTATTAATTTTGATTTAAATAGCCACTGACTTCCAAATTGGATATAATAGGGGTAGATTGAAGCTTATCCTCACAGCTTGAGTACATCTGGCACTCATTCCTGTTTTCAAATACCATTTCCAACTAAAAAGAACGTGATCTTTGGAGAAGTGGCTGCAGAAGAGAAACTAGAAGATAAACCTGTCAGAAGGTTTTGTGGTGTTCACAAAAAATGATGGGGGCATGTCAAAAAAATGCAAAAGATAGCTTGAGTAAGCTCTCATTGACCTAATCTGGGACTATTTGGATTTTAAAATAAATCATTGAAAAAATAGGGAGTCATGAGTACATACTGGGGTGTGGAGGGGGAATAGGAAGGATGGTGGAAAAAGAAAGGAGAACGTTTCCATATAGTAGAATAAATGTTGGTTAATAAATGTAACACCTTTATTGAAATTAGAGAATGAGGGCCCTCCCTGGTGGTGCAACGAATGAAAACACAGCACTATGGAGCTATCCACAACCACTGCAGCATGAGTTCAATCCCCAGCCAGGGAGGTGACTCACATGGTGTGGCAGACCTCTCCTGATCCGCGCTGCTCCTCTCAGCAGTGTATTTCAGTACATCTGCCTGTTCTGCTCCCCACTCTGTCTCTGGTGAAGTCTCTCACCCCCAACACCTCTGGCTTGTACCCCAGTTTTGTATGCAAAAATAGCTAAAATCTTTAAAAAAAAAAAAAAGAAATTAGAGAATGATTGCAATAATTCTCTATTAGAGAATCAGCAGTGAAATTGGAGAATCATTGTAATATAGTAAAGACTGGCAAGAATCTTCAGTGGTCATAAATATTATTGGTATCATGTAGCTATTCCATGAGATACAGTAGCACTACATAGTTTTTTAGCCAGGGATGCATTATCTGAATTTATTTGTTAGAAAACATCAAAGTTAAAATCAGAAACATACCATTAAAAAAACAACTAGCCTATATTATTTAAGAAATGTCAGTGTTATAAAAGCCAAGAAATGCAAAAGAAATATTTTAGATTGAAAATATATGATATAAGTGAATTTATGGTCAAAATTAGATTTCACTTGGAGGGGAAAATTATTAGACACTGTTCATTGTAGGGTATATAAAATATTATATAATATTGGATTATCTTATATCTGTTTTGTACTTAAGAAAATACTTTTTATTTTTAGGTTTAACACATTGAAATGTTTAAGGGTAAACTAATTAGGACACATATGTGATAAATTAACTTCACTATATGTTTAGACTGATAGTATAGAATATCTTTGGGAGGACTGAAAGAATAATAAAATTATTTTCTCTAGTGCTTAACTTGCTAGCAAGTTAATACTGGTTGAAAAAATGTTTGTAAAAGAGCAATAGAGAGAAGTGGAGTCTTCCATTACTAGGTGAGATAGAATACACAGTTGGCTGACCATTACTCTTACTACAACTACATGTACAAAGTATAAAAGAAAAATTATCATACTGTTAAAGATATGAGCAGGATTTCTGGTTTCACTTTCAACATATAAAAAGCTTGAGAATCACTCCTGTCTTTACAACAATAAAAAGGTGAAAAATCAGTGCTTTTTCATAAGCCAGTCAGAGAAGTGAGGCTGTAGGACAATTGCCAACCCAAAATATAGAGAGACAGGCAAAGCCTTTCATAACCAAGATCTGCTTATCTGGATCTGAAACCACAGGAACTATTAATTGGTAATTTTGAGGAACTGCTTGAGGTTAAGCAGCAGCTAGCTTGAGAATGAGAAACTTCTAGAGAGCACAATTTTAGGAAGACCCCACACTGTCACTGACTCTGGCATCCCACTGGGTTCTTACATTGAAGAGCCAACAAGGATCCCTTGTGACCTACCATTGAAAGGGATGAGGAGCAATTATAAAATAAGCCCCAAACCATAAAAAGACCTACTCTTTAGGGGTAAAACTCTACCAGAGCCTAATTCCACCCAAGAGAGGAGTGTTTCTCCACTTCCAACTCCTGTAGCCTTTTTTCTGTATTACTTAAGAGGGAGTGGGAGTGTAAAATAACATACTTCTTAAAGTCAAAGTCCAGGGGCACAGAGAACTGAGATTTAATCACAAGATCAGAGTAAATTATGGTACTTTAGTAAACACATTTTCTCTTCTTCACACTTAGCACCACACCACCAGGACTCTAGTGCAGTAAGAGTGGGGTACAGCTGCAAGACACAAATTGTTTGAGGAGTACTTAAAAGGAGTTTGAAATTTTCAGAGACAAAAACAAGGACACTAGAGGAATTTGAGTTGTCTGGAATCCACAACTACAGCAGACATCAAACATATCCCAAATCTTAGTAAGATTAACAAAACACCTTATGATGAAAGTCTGTTTACTTTAAGTTCTGTCACCTGATATATCATGTCTGTTATCAACAAAAAAGTTACAGGGCATGCTAGGGGCAAAAAACAAAACAAATTCTAGAGACAAAGCAACCAACATAAACTTCTCAGTCAAATATAACAAAGAATGTGTTGATATTATCTTAAGTAACTATAAGTATGTTAAAATTTTTAATGGCTAAAGTTGAAAACATGCAAGTACATGGATAATTTAGTAAAAGAATGAAGCTTTTATTATTGAGGTTATATTGATTTACAGCATGGTATTGAGTCAAGGGAATACTTCCTCATGTATCACATGCCCTATCTACTCCCGAGCACCCACAGCCTTTTATAATATACCTTAGGTCAACTGCCACTTTGTTCCCACCCCACCCCCACCTCTAGCAGCCTCAGTTCTGCAGTCATATTTCAATCATCTGGTATTTGTCTTTCTCCTTCTGACTTCTTTTATCTAGCATAATCTCCTCCAGTCCCATCCATGTTTCAAGAGTTTTTTGTTTTAATAGTACATCATGTATATGTACTACATCTTCTCAACCTACCACTCACATGTTGAGCACTTAAGTTATTTCCATAACTTGGTTCTTGTAAATAGTGCTGCATGAATATAGGAGGGCATATATTCAGATTAGTGTTTTTGTATTCTTTGGAATAAATACCCAGGAGTAGAGTTGTTGGATCATATGCTATTTCTCTTTTTAATATTTTGAATGTGCCTGAGTGAATGCATTTGCTATATAAGTATAGATATAGACACAGATGTAGGTGTAGCTATCAGTAAAGACAGCTGGAGTGAGGCAGGCATAATCAGAATAGGTACTCTCTGATCAGGGAAATGGAATATAAAAACTCTAACACACACATTTAAGGTTCTTTGTAGCTGTTAGCTCTTCCATATGCCCTTTTAGCAGCATGGTTTGTATCACTTTTTCTTAAAAAAAGAGCCCCCTTTATTGTATCTGTGTTAGTTTTCTCAGCATGCCTTCTGCCAGTAGAAGCCTAAAGCCCAGAGGTCTTTTCACATTGTCTTAGTTCAAATTCAAGGTTTTAAAACTTTGTACTCTTTTTATGTGTCTCATTAAAATAAACTCTAGTGAACAAAATAATCTCTTCAAGTCAAAGCTTTCTTAATTTTGTGAGCTGTTGTGGGACAATAACCTTAAGAAACATAGAAGCATTTCTGTCTAGC